TCTCTCCGCATACTCTCTGACTCTCTCCGTATGCTCTCCGGCTCTCCCTGAATATTTCTTGACTCTACCCGCATACTCCCCGTCTCTCTTTGCATACTCCCAGACTCTCTCCATATGCTCCCCGACTCTCTTCTTTTGCTCTTCAATTCTTTCGCGGTTTTTCTCACTCTCTTCTTCGTTATGTTCTCACCATTATGCGATATACGCACATAACGCGTTCCAATATCCCCCATCTCTTATTCACTCACTTTCTGTATCACTCTCTTTTCTATTCTTTCTTGTCTGGCTCTCTGGCTCTCTGGCTCTCTGTCTGTCTGTCTCTCTCTTTCTCTCTCTCTCTCTCTCTCTCTCTCTCTCTCTCTCTCTCTCTCTCTCTCTCTCTCTCTCTCTCTCTCTCTCTCGCTCTCTCTCTCCCTCTCTCTCTCTCTCGCTCTCTCTCGCTCTCTCTCTCGCTCTCTCTCCCTCTCTCTCGCTCTCTCTCTCCCTCTCTCTCTCCCTCTCTCTCTCTCGCTCTCCCTCTCTCTCTCTCTCTCTCTCTCTCTCTCTCTCTCTCTCTCTCTCTCTCTGTCCTTTCCATGCCTCCTTTCTCCCTTCATCGTTCACATCAATAAACTATCGCTACTATTACTCTTAGTTTAGCTTTACAGTCTGGCAGCAACATGACATTGGCGCCGGTCGCGACATTGACAAAGAGTCTGACAAAACAGGACACACAGTGTCACAGGATACAGGCTGACAGTGACACAATTGATATAGGCTGACAGTGACACAGATTTAGGCTTGGCTTAGTCTGCCACAGCCGCATTGATGCATTTCATCGCAGCGACACAGATCCAATCTTGGCTAGCCTGTCAGGCTGTGCTTTACCGTATTGGTAATTTTTTTCGATCGTTTTTACGTAAATCACCCATGCACTTTTAGTTTAGATAGTGCGGTTTATTGAAGCATTATTTTGGTCATCAGGCTGCGAAAGTTTTGAAACGATGTCATATAATCTATGAAAATGTTTCTAAGCCACCAAAGTTATAGTTTTAGCGAACTAATGAGTTGGGAGACCAACTTACCTTCAGAGTTACGTGGTTCTTAATTCTTATTCAGGATGTAGAGTCTGGAATAGCAGAAGGCGGACGGAATCTAGTCTCTTTAAACGCTCAGATTTTGTTTTCCGGACGCATGTAAATCTAGCTCCGGATCCGGTACCGTTTAAGCGGGCTTGAGCAAGGCCTTTCATGTTAGTCTCATTTACATTCAAGTAAATACATTCGCTGCTCTTGCAAGTAGACTGCAATATTGCTCGTATTTCCTCTGACGTCTTCATTAAGTGCTCTTTGATCTCAGTTCAGCGCCATCCGTCTAAGTGTTGATCCCTCGCGAATTACGACCAATTTCAAAGTTTGCCTGTACATCAAAAACTAAAGCACTCGTTAGCACGTAAGCATTTTCAGTGTTTTCCACTTCGGTGCCTCTGCCTGTCAATGATTTAAAGTTTATTGCGTTTTCTCTTCCTGGACGGCCTCTGAGAAATCAATATCTCTGCTTAGCAGCTTGCGCCGATCCCAGAGCGTCGTTTGGTTCTATGGACGAGTCTCTGGGTGATGCGCTATGCCATCCGGTGTCATGGCGACCAAAAGGAAAGGCTGGTCTGAATGCAAACCAGTGAATTGTGGCATCGATATCTGCCCAGTGGGATGCCTCGGGATAAGGAAACGAGATGTCGTGGGGAACGAGGCTTTCAATGACGTCAGTCGTCGCCGTCATTGACGTCTCTGCCACATCACTCTGACGTCACCAAGACACATCATTATGACATCTCTGACGTACTTGTCTTATGTGACATCTCTGATGTGATGGAGTTAAGCGTTCGTCAGCAACACTGACGTGTCTTCACATCACTCTGACTCACTGTGTCACATCAGTACGACACTCCGACATGTCTGTCTGATGTGTCATCTATGATGTAGACTTCCACAGGAGACGTTACGTCGTGGGCGGACGGCAGGACGTAATGGGATAGGCGGTACGTCGCAGCTGCCAGGAGCGCCTAATTGAATGAGCGCACCGACGACCGGAGGTGACACCGCGTCAGCGGGAGATGTATCGCTACATGATGGCTCAGAGGAGGTACGAGACAGGACTCTAACAGCCTCCGGGACCTGCCGGGTAGCGGGGAAGCTGCAGCGGTGTCAGGCTGCCGGCTGCGGAGGATTGCGCTTTGGCGCCTGGGGAGGTATCCATGAATAATCCATGTAGTGGTGTGGAGGTAGAATGAACATTTCTTCTTCTTAAAAAATGTATTAAGAAATACATATAAATTGAGCAAATATCCTCAATCTCAGTTCGTGACAAATGAATTGAACATAACTACTAAATAATTTGAGCGTAAATCAAATCAAGCAACATAGCGCGAAGAGGTTGTGATTCAATCCCATGCTTCCGAGATCTGTAACATCTCATCACTCCTGGCTGACTTCCGGCTGTCGCTGCCGCTGCACCCCCCCCCCCCCCGCAGACGGGAGTGGGGGGGGGGGGGTCGATTACGCGGAGTCGGCCGGCTGCCTGCAAATGGCGCTCCTTGTACCAGGGACCCATGTCGTTACCCTCCCCCCTCCCCCGGGGTGGGTCGGCCCAGACACAATTACATTGGGTGGGGTGAGCAACCCAGACAGAGTAGGCTAGGCAGGGAACCTAGGCGGAGCTAGCTATACATTGGTAACCCAGACAAACCTAGACAGGAATCTACATAGAGTTTCGTGATAAACCCAGCTAGGGCTGCTTCAGTAGCCCAGACAGAGAAGCTAGGCAGGGAACCTAAGCGGAGCTAGCTATACATGAGTAACCCAGACAAACCTAGACAGGAATCTACATAGAGTTTCGTGATAAATCCAGCTAGGGCTGTTTCAGTAGCCCAGACAGAGTAGGCTAGGCAGGGAACCTAGGCGGAGCTAGCTATACATGGGTAACCCAGAAAAAGCTAGACAGGGAACCTGGAGGGGGCTGCGTAAGGAACCCAGACTCTGGGAACCTAGCAAAAGAGAGTGAAGGAGCCTATACAGGACCGGGCCCCAGGCCATAGACGAACGAGACCCAGGACATTGACAGGGACCCAGGCAGAGTGAAGTGAGGAACCCAGACAGAGCAACCTAGCTAAAGCTACTTGGGGATCCAGACTGAGCTACGCGAGTAACCTAGACAGAGCGACGGAAAGAACATGGATGAAGAGCTACGCAGGGAATCCAGCAGAATTACGCCGGGAGCCTAGACAGAACGAATGAAGGAACCCAGGCAGGGCTGTGGAAGGACGTAAGGCAGAGTTAAGTGAGGAACCCAGACAGATCTATGCAGGCAACCTAGCTAAAGCTACGCAGGGAACATAGCCAGAGCTGCATGGAAACCCATGAAGACAGCGATGGAAGGAGGCAGAAACCCAGGTAGAGCTATCAGCTAGACAACGAGCAAAGGTAAAACGATAACACACATTGCATCATACATCAATGTGACACATATCCTGAGAGGCATTGTTTTATTTTCCCAGTAAAGGGCTTAACACATGTTTGCCGACTGTATAAATCATCCGATTGCTGGCTCCCTGAGGCAAGAACAATTCAGAAGCAATCATAGTGGCGAATATAAAAGCCAGCCCAGCTGTGAAGCAACATACGTTAAGGTCTCATAGGCTTCGGCAAACCCAGCTCTAGCGTCCTGGTGCGGTGGAATAAATCAGTGCCATTTTCACAACACTGAGCGTGATTATAATGGCGAAGAAAAGTAATGTGGAAAATAGTATGGTATGGCACTGACATTTATCGTGAGGATATATCGATATCGCGTTGGCATGTACTGTTAGCGGTTGTCAAAAGAACGAGGTGAACGGTATAGATGGATGGTAGATGGAGATGAGCAGAGCTTTAGAAAATGCGAACGTTATTACGCCTTTTGCTGATAGGTATTATGCGGTACGGCTGTAGCGAGAATGTCCACGAAAAAGATCACGTCTTATACATATGTAGCTATACAGCAATGCAGATATAATCAAATCCTCGTACGCTATACAAGCAAAACGTGCGAAGGATATGTTATTTGTAAATTGTATGAACCTGAGAAGTGCTTCGATCCTTTCTTGTGAACTACGTGCAATCTCTTCACTCAATCGGCAATGGATCATCAATGTGCTTCACTTTTACACTCGGAGCAGAGCCATTTCCCATTTCTGTCCAAACGAGACCACTTTTTCCACGTCCGAGGGAAATATGTAATCTGTCAGTTTTCCGTGGCCCGATTTCTCACGTAAAATTGTCAGATGACGTCCGCTGTCAGTTAGGGACGACTGGTATTGATTTACGGCATCAGGAGCTGTGGCCAGTATCAACAGGTAGCCGTCACATGAGCGATTCGCCCACGGCTTATGGTGTTACCGGAGCCAACGGCAGCGCTCTCAAAGCCCTCTCTGGGATTGATTGCATTTCCCATTGACGGGGTAACGGGCACTGACGTCGCCATCATGGCAGACTTTAGGAGAGATGTCGGCTCGGCTCTAGTTTCCCTGCCTTACGCAGAGCTTCCTGATTATATCACTATTTCTGGGTGTCTGGGATGTGAGCTCTGAATGTGTAGAGTGTGAGCTATGGGTGTCTGGAATGTGAGTTCTGAGTGCTGAGCTGGGGGTGTTCGAAACGTGAACTCTGGGCATTCGAGATGCAAGCTTTGTGTGTCCGGATTGGAAACGCCCTGTTTGTACGAACTGCAAGCCCCGAATGTCTGGACTAGGAATCCCTTGTTTCTGAACCGGAAGCTCCTTGGGACCTACCATGCTCCGTTCTGAATATCAGATGGTGTGAATCTGTGAGTTTCAGCAGCGCATTGAAGACGCTTCTGTTGCATAATGTAAGCTGTTCCTGTGGTGATAAAGCCATAACGTATTCAGTTCCCGAACTTCTCAAGCGCGTGTGGTGAATACATACGTATGACCTTTCATATCTTGACAAAAGTCTTCTTCATTGCAGGTGACACCAGATCAGAAGCTTGGCATGGAAACGACCCGGCTCCCTCGACTTTGAGGGTCTCCAGCGAGGACTTACCACAAACCGCAAAGTCGTCCCAGCCGCCATCTCTCCCGTGTTTCTACCGAGGTGTCCCCGCTAAAGACGGGGACGCGCGGCGGGCGCACGAGTCCCAGGCGGCCGGCACGTGACCTGGCGGGCTATCCGATCTCACCGAATAACCGCAGTCATCGATCGCGCCTCATCGGCACGGCGCGATAGCTCCGGGGCACCGCGACGACACGTCCCCGACCGGGAACACGCCCACGGCGCCGACGAAAACCGCGACGCTCCCACACCGACGAAAAGCCGGGCACCGACGGTAGGTTGGGACGCCCACATACCGACGGAGGCCAGGGCAGATAGGTGCCGACGAAAAGCTGGGACGGCTACAGACCGACGAGAGGCTAGGACGTCCACGGAAGTAGGACAGTGGTGAAGGAGCGCGTTTGTGTCGGCTCTGGTGAAGACGGGCCGTCGAGCGACGAAGGTAATTCACTGAGAACGCCAGAAATGGACAAGCTGTTGCCCAGTTTGGGATAAATTGAGTTACAGCAAGTGAACGCCGAAAAAGTTTGCTGTCTTTCAAGAAGAAACTGTTGACGTGGGAAGCGAAAACTCACAACAAACATGACGAACTTAACGATGATGGATAACAGTTCTCTTGAGAACTGTACGGCACTGCAGCTGTTGGATAACGACACGATCAGCTGCGGGCCACCGCCGCCGCCCGTCTCGTACGCACTCATCTTCAACGCGGTCATCTACTCCATTGTCATGGTGATCGGCCTGGGCGGCAACACGCTCGTCATCTACGTCATCCTGCGCTACAGCAAGATGCAGACGGTGACCAACTTCTACATCTTCAACCTGGCCGTGGCTGACGAGATCTTCCTCATCAGCATACCGTTCATCCTGACCACCATGGCGCTGGGAGAGTGGCCGTTCGGCATGGTGATGTGCAAGATCTACTGGACCATCACCAGCATCAACCAGTTCACCAGCAGCCTCTTCCTGACGGTGATGAGCGCCGACCGGTACCTGGCCGTGTGCCATCCTATCAGCTCCACGCGCTGGAGGACGCCGCTGGTCTCCAAGATCGTCTGCCTCACTGCCTGGACAGCCAGCTCTCTGATGGTGGTTCCCCTCTTCATGTACGCCGCAGAGTACGAGGGTCAGTGCAACATCTTCTGGCCGGAGAAGGTTGGAGGATTCAAGGGAGAGAAGGCCTTCACGCTGTACACCTTCACCATGAGCTACCTGATCCCAGTGATCCTGATCCTTGTCTTCTACATCCTGGTGATCGACAAGCTGCGCCACGTCGGCCCCAAGAAGCGGTCCAAGGAGCGCCGCAAGTCACACCGCAAGGTGACGCGCCTGGTGCTCACTGTCATCACCGTCTACTTCTTCTGCTACCTGCCCTTCTGGATCACCCAGCTGTCTCTCATGGTGAGCAGCGAGTCCAAGGTCAACCACAGCCACTTCCTCGTCTGTCTTATCCTCCTGGCGTACGCTCTCACCTACATCAACTCAGCAGTCAATCCGGTTCTCTACGCCTTCCTCAGCGACAACTTCAAGAAGTCCTTCGTGAAGGCGTGCCAGTGCGCCCGCGCTCCAGACGTCAACAACGTCCTGAACGTTGAGAACTCGGTCTTCCCGCGACGCAGCAAGCAGACGGGCGGCGGCAAGTCGACGGACCTGCATGAGATGCAGGAACGCGGAATGACGCACGAACCCAGCACGGGGGTAACGGTGATGACACCGCGTTCGACAGCTCGCTCCAGTCATGTGGACAGCACCAATGGACACCTTACACTCAAAGTGCCCATCAAGGTGTAGTAGCACCTGAAGTCGACTAGGTGGCCAGCCGTAAGGGTGATGGCTATAGAGGTATGTGTAGAAATATAGACATTGACAGACTTTAGATAGATGCTGATATCCAGATGTGTTAGTGCTCGACTTCGTGTGTTATCGTTTGCTATTCATCTAGCATGTATTGACAGGACGCACACATAAATGACACACAAAGCTTATCACCTACGAATTCGCGATTGTGAAACAATTCGAATGGGCACCATTTGCAGGCCTCGAACACTTTTGGCATCACGTTATTGAAAGCCAGTCAATAACTAAAGAAGTTTCCACGCAACTCCTTTTCTGTGGGATGCCTGCGTTAGATGATTGCTGTGGTTGTCGATATGAATGACAGGTCAATGTGCTATGAATTTGAATCCCTGTTATCACTTTAAGGAGCCATCTTTTCCGTGCGAGCGATGTAGGACGAACAGCAAGACGTTGACCTGAAAAGCTGCTCTTGGTGTTCTATGTACGCGAAGTAGTGCCAACATTATCGTGTATATCGTATTGCCATGTCCATGTCTGCGCTGTATTTAAACGCTTGGCTGTCTGTACAAGTGTTACTGATGGGTGGAGAATCACCTGCTATGCTCTTAGACGTGTTGATTAAAAACCTCTGATACCAACAAAGGGACTCTAGCTGAGCATCTTGTAACATCAACTGACGGCCGAGCCTAGGTTGCTGGTGTACTTTGGGGACTTCACCTGAGAGCACAGCTGAAAGGCGTTGGGTCTGCAGGTCTGTGCAGCGTCTGACTGCCCTGGAGCCAGCGCTAAACTGTGTTACTGTGAACGTGCTTCATAAGCTGGATGTTCGTCTAACACCTTCGGGCATGGGCTTTAACGACCGAGCGGAGCCGAGCAGCCGCCCGTGGATTTGGATGTTTCGTTGGTGTTTGATGTCGCGACGTGAAGTGAGCTACCTTTCTTGAATGGCTGTGAGTGTTTGACACCTGTTTCCCTGCGCTAAGTGTGATGTAAGCTATCGTTTCAGAGGCAACTGCGATGTTCAATCGGGGTGTTGACTTGCATATTTGCTGTATGTAGGTATGTCTGTTCTGGTGTCTGTTCCGCAATGTCGCGGCAGCGATACTTACGGGGCGAACAGTATCTTACGGGGTGAGCAGATTCCCCATCGGATGGTGATAGGAGTTCTGAGCCCTCCTGCTGCCATCCCAATCCTCTGAAGACCCGCTTCCAGGGTTGGTGAGCCCCACTGCGACCCATGGGGAGCCATGACACCCCTCCATCTCCTCCGGGGGTGTCACGGCTTGCCTGGACTCAGGTCGCCCATCACAATGATTGTTTTTCAGCGGCACGGAATCCAGTCGTGAAGCCGACAGGGCCCACTATGGTTCCGGCCGTACATACGGCTTTATGGCATCATAAAGTGCAGCTCTGTATGGTCCCAGGAGTGAGCTTAATTGAATCGGACCCGGCGAGTCTGGTCACGACAGCGCCTGGACGATGGAATGGCGTGCGCTTGGTCATGGCGGTAGAGGATTTCGTGCCAGAATCAAGCGCGAACCCTCGCAGACGCGAGATGTCTAAGCCTGCCTTGTGTGCAACTGGGCTGGTGGGATTTCGTTTCATATCCGTTAGCGTCGTATTTCTTTACGAAATATTCTGGCATTATTTCTCTCTGAGTTATCTAGCCGGAAGTAATTTGCTTGCGTTTCTGTGACTCATAAATTTGCACTCGTAGTTAATTAACTGGACATGTTCTACACAATGCCCTTGTGTTGTTCCATTCTAACCCTAGCTGGCTGATCAAGTCGCAAATGTTTGAAGAACTTCTGCTGTTATATCAAGGACTCATATGACCCATGGACTTTTCTAGATTGACACCAGAACAAATTGTTAAACGTTACACCGGTTCTGAACGTAATAAGTTAAGTTACATTCATTGTTCTTTCTTTCTGAAATAAAAACCAACATAAATTACCAAAAAATGATACCCTTGCACTACATCTAACCCCAGCGGTCAGCACTACAGCTGATCTCTATTAGACCCCATCTCTTTATCTGACCTCCATTAGACTCCAGTACTGCTTCTCACCTCTATCAAACCCTAACATCTGACCTCTATCAGACCCCCACTACATCTGACCTCTATCAGACCCCACTACATCTGACCTCTATCAGGCCCCACTACATCTGACCTCTATCAGGCCCCACTACATCTGACCTCTATCAGGCCCCACTACATCTGACCTCTATCAGGCCCCACTACATCTGACCTCTATCAGGCCCCACTACATCTGACCTCTATCAGGCCCCACTACATCTGACCTCTATCAGACCCCACTACATCTGACCTCTATCAGGCCCCACTACATCTGACCTCTATCTAACCCCACTACATCTGACCTCTATCAGGCCCCACTACATCTGACCTCTATCAGGCCCCACTACATCTGACCTCTATCAGGCCCCACTACATCTGACCTCTATCAGGCCCCACTGCATCTGACCTCTATCAAACCCTAACATCTGACCTCTATCAGGCCCCACACGGCCCGCCGCGACTCCCGACACCACGTCCCTCCCGGGGGAGGCCGACCTCCAGCGCGCGGGCGGCTCTCCCGGGACCCGGGACCGGCAACAGACCCGTGATCCTATCCGACCAGCGCTCGATGTCTGGACGGCGCGGCCCGACTCGCGCCCTCAGGGACCCACCCGGTCATGAACTGGGTCACTCACGAAATGGAATTTCGCTCGGCGCCGCCGTCGAGACCTGCCGATTTCCCTCAACATCCAGATATTGGCGGCGCTGCGACCGCCGCCGGGTAAAAAGTTTGGGGCTTAGAGCTGGGATGAGAACTTTGGCAGGTCGCCACAATGAATTGTCTTCTGGCGCAGTGCCGGAGGCTTTACAAAGTTTTCCAATTACCATCCCCCGCGGTTATTTTCTCCTCGCCTTGGCTGAAGTCTTTGAGGTTCCTTGTTGGAGCCTGAATTTTCTTGACGCTCTCTCTCTCTCCTTCTCTCTCATCCTGGCCTTGCTCCCTTCCTCTCTTTTCCATCTACCACCTTCTTCAATCAACCTCTCTCTCTCTCTCTCTCTCTCTCTCTCTCTCTCTCTCTCTCTCTCTCTCTCTCTCTCTCTCTCTCTCTCTCTCTCCTCACTCTCTCTCTCTTTCTCTCCTTCTCCTTTATCACTCTCTTCTTATTCATCTCCTCGTCCTTTTTCTCCTCCTCCTTATCCTTTATTTACTCTTCCTCTCTCCCCCTCTCTGCGCATGGCAGACACCTCTGTCCCAGACGTGTTTGACTGTGCTCCTCTCGGTAGCTTTCCCCAGCCTCTTATCCTTTTTCCAAACACTCTGTGGCGGTAGTGGCGTGACAGCGCCATACATCGCTTTCCGGCCGTGCCCGCCTGCCTCCATTGAACCGTGCCGGCGGGCCTTCACTGGCTGTGGCCGCTCCAGAACTAATGGGTCAGTCGGTAGTATCTATTTTCGTCCGCAGCCTTTGGCCTCACCCGCTGCAGGAGCCCATGGCGTCATGCGGCATTGTCATGGAAATTTGACGCGGTGGATGAAACGATGGTAGATAAAACGGTGTCATTACCGGTGTTGTGTGAGATTCGCGCAGAATCCTTTGTCAAAGTTTCTTGACAGGAAGAGAAGAGAGCAATGAATCATGGTGAGCGGTCCAAGGGCGGGAGTGACTTCCAAGGCAGTGGCAGCACTGGGACGAATTGTCAGCTTACTCAAACGCTTTGCGGCCACATTGGACTTATTCTTCCATTCATCTACCACTCGTGTCGGTATTTGCATTTTGCCTTCTTAGTAATTTCCTCTGCAGTTCGCCCTCGCTACTCCTTTCTCGCTGCCTCTACCGAACGATGTAGCATGCAGCCCGTCCTTCCTACTCGCACCGCTAAGGAGTTTACTATTCCTCGATTTCTGACCCTCAGTTTTTTTTTTGTCTAAACATCTTCAAGCATTTGTGACAATGCAGGCAGCCAGATTTCTCTGGTAAAATCCACTTGTTGGACCGTTCTTATTGGACCCCGTTACAGCTTTCATGTTAAACCGCACGGAAAATTACAGCTCTGGGAATTCAGCAGAACATCATATCATGTTTTCTCTCAATTTATTAAGACGATTAGTAGATGAACGGTAAAGGGCTTATTGTGGTCCGCGGATTTGTTCCCTAAGTATAATAAGAATAAATGCTCTTCGCCGCAAGCAAAAATACTGAAAACAGGGCAGGAAAAGTCATATTGCTTTATCATAAACCACTTAGGGCACAGAAGCTCCGGGCCATAGCGCAAAGCTTTAGGTAAGAATAAGATACAGCGCGTGTCTGAAATATGTAGGTGTATTGTCTTTGTGTATTGTGTAATGTATATTTCCTGTAAATACATTCGTGCGCGTGTGTGTACATACATTGCTCAACTGTTCATGTATTCGTACTATGAATGTGTGCTCGTGCGGAGGACGTTCTTCGAGAGACCGATGTCCTCACGAAACGCGCACCAACTCCTAATCTAAGTATATGTTACGTCATAATATACGTAACCGTCCTTTTTTATCCGTCTTTTTCGAGAAATTAGCGACGAGTGTGTCGAATGGCGACTCCACTGAAAACACGATCACGATGAAGCGACGCTCGACGCTCGATGAAGCGACGCTCGACGTTCAATGCGTCGCGAACTGACTGGCCCAGATCGCGGGGCGAACCAATGAAGTGAACATCCACACAGACACAATAGCAGCGAACTGGAGCATGTCGAGGCGGGACGTTTCGAGCCGGCATTTGCTGTCGCCGGAACGACGCAGCGGGAGCGTCAGCTGCAGAAGATTGGACTCCTTGAGTCACGAGTTACGTGTGACGCTCGCTGACGAGATGTGACGCGTCACAGCTGGGGTCCGTCACGATATCTTGTCGATTATTCCTGCGTCAGATTACGGTTTGGTTGTAAAAGTCATGCAAATGTTGGGAATCATGTAGACAGGCGATTCATTGTTTTCGTTGGGGAAAGGAAAATGTATCTTATCTTGTCATTATAACACAATTATATGAAGATCATCATTTGATAATATTATTTCATCTGATTCAAAAATATGACAATAAACAGGTGCAGAAGCTCATGAAAAAAAAATGCTGATGGAATAAAGCCGATGGGTATATGGAACTTCGAATCAAAACCAAATGCCAACCGCAAACAGTAAAAAGAATAAAGCATATTGAAAACAAAAAGAAAAACCAGCTGCAAAGAATGTATGTCATTTTAGGGCATTAAGACAAACTACAATCTATTATTTACGACATGCATAT